ATATATATATATATATATATATATATATATATATATATATATATATATGGACCCATGACATATCTAGTCACATGTTCTTGGTCATGGTTATACTGCTAAATGTGGGTCCCATCTGAGTTCATTCAAGCTAAGAAATACATTAGTGCATTTATTGTAGATCAACAATACTGGAAATAATACCCACCCCCAGAGAGTTTACAATTGAATAATTCAGAAATACAGTTGATTGTTAAGTGGAAGTGTAAAGCTTCAAAAATGTAGAAAAAAAATGTCTTGGCCTTTACAAGTCCACTTGTATGCAAAGGGAACACATTCTTGGAAATGGAACAATGGTGATAGTATTAATTGTGTTTGCTTCTGACAACTTTGGTTAAAGGAGACAGCAATCAGAACCTTTGAATGGAAATAACTAGCAATGTTACAAATACATTATCACTACTTATCACAATCTGGAATAAAGCAAAGACTTTAGAGTTAAAAGTTATCAAGGACCTATACCGTATATCTCACTGTATTATGGGAATGTCTGCACATGTCTTTGGAAGTCAAATTTAATTTCCTTGGCAGGTACAGACATTAAGGAATCATTATTTGCATGGCTCTGATGAAGAAGCATATACAAAGATGTTTCTCTCTGTCTAGTTCCATCATGATCGAATGAGCACGGATTTCAACACAACTCTATTTTCCACTCCCCAGAGCCAGAGCTTTCGTATGTAAGTTGGCATCTGCAGGAGCTGTGCCCAGCTGGGTTGCTATAAGACAAGTTCATAGACAGTGATTTATGAATACAACAAATGCATCCCTCATAGCTCTGGAAGCTGAGAAGTCTGAAAGAAAGGCATCAGCAAGTTCAGTAAATAATTAGGGTCAAGTCCTCATAGATGGCTGCCTTGTATGTGTCTTTACAGGGTGGCTAAAATTCACAGAAGGGCTTATTTTTATCCTAGTATTATTCATCTGTAAGCCCCACCTCATAGTTTATCATACTGGGATTCGAGTTTCAGTATCTGAATTTTAGAAAACAAGAGTGCTTGGAGCATAGACATTAATATTCACACAATACAGTCCTATAAAATGGATGCTTCGCTACTATAATCTGTAGGAGTAGAAGGTCTGTGACTATGAAAATATAAGTGCAGGAAGAAAATATTCTGTCTGCTACTAATCTCTGATAAGATTATAAGGGGACTGTCTATATTTCCAGTACAGGAAGAAAAATGCCAGCGTGTCTCTTGCAAGGTCTGCTTTATTGTATATGTGCAATAGTACGTATTTGCATTTTGCTGAGATTTTAATTCAGAACCACAGGCCCCAGTGTTCTTGGCTGGTGGTTTGCCATTATGAGGAATAATGCCTCTGTTGCACCATGCTGCCTGGGCCCTCTCAGCCAACCTGGTGACAAAAGCTTTCACCACGGGTCATACATCAAAGGGCACGTGTCAACAGTGGTTGCCTGGCTGAGCAGATTTCTGCAACTTGTGTTGTTTAGAAGAGAAAAGTGAATGCTAACACCTCTAAGTCAGCAAAACCTAATCACTGGGTCAGGCACGATGGAATCATATGAAACAGGAACCAATCCAGGTTGCCACAAAGCCCTTTATATCTTTGGAAATTTTCTTGAAGAGAATTTTTCCCTTTATTATGTTAAGAATGCCTGAAAGCCATAGACATGTTTTTGTTTTGTTTTGTTTTCCCAAACACAAAGGAGTGGGCATTTTGTCGCTAAGTGTACTTATTCTTTCTTTCTTTACTTGACCTCTTTCTGATTAGGGAAATGTAGCATTCCTTTGCTGTTGCTATTGTCTTTTTTAACTATTAATCTTCACATAGGTATATATTGTTTGGTGAGCATATAGCCTCTCCATTCCCTTCCATTGTTTTAAGAGTAGTGCAGAGAAGAACTGGGGAATAGGAGTAGGCCATGATGGAGGCATCACTTCTCTGCTATATTTGTAGCTCGTTTGAGCTCCTCATTTCCAGTAAACCAGTCCTTGATCAAAGATGACTATACAAATAATTAGTATGTATGAGAGTTGAGATTTGCTAAAAACCAAGGATTTTTTTCTTGCATTTGCATTATGCTCAAATATGGGCAAATCAATGGAATAAACTTTAAAATAAGCTTAGTTGAGTGATGTGGGCGGAATATGAAAAGGCTGTACCATTGGTAGGTTTTACTGTGCTCTGTGCCACAAGAATACAAAAGGCTGTACCACTGGCAGATTATAGTGTGCCTGCACCACCAGAATACAGAAGGCTGTACCGTTGGCAGGTTAACTGTGAATGGCACCATCCTCGCTCATCACTAAGAGGGAGGCTCATGCTTTCATTCCCCATGTGGTGTTTGGATACGGTCAGTTGGCTATGATGATGATAGACTCTGAGAAAATTCATGGTAAATGCTTTCATTTTGATAAAGCATGTCTGTACTTTGATGAGAATAGGATGTTCAGGGGCCAGTGAACCAAAAGAGAAACCACAACTTAGAGGGGGAGGATCCTTAATATATAAGCCTACTTCACTGAATTTCAGGAATTTGTTTCTATAATTGTTTCCTGCAATCTGCCCATTACTGTTCATTACTTTATGCCCAATCTGTTCACTACTCTAGGTACAGTTAAGCATGGAATCTTTACAATAAGAGGAGACTTCTGTAAATTAACTTCTGTGAGCTCATTCATTGGCAAAAATTGTCAGAACTGCATTTATCTCATATTGCAATTATAGGAATATATAAGGTAACAGACTTTAAAGTCCTTAGTCCAGTATGTGGTATGCAGTAAGCACTTACTAAATATTGATTGTTGCAATGCTGCCCTTTGATAATTTACATTTTAATTATTGACACATTATCATAGTACAGGATGCCCTAAAGTGGTTTGGTAGAAAATGGGAAATGAAAGTAGGAAGAAGGAAAAGATGTAGTCTTACCACTGAGATAAATTAACATGTTAGTATCAAAGATAGACCTCAACAGTTAATAGTTTTCATATAAAAATTAAAAATAACAAGCATGGAATCACATAATTTTATGCTTCCAAAATGTGGTGCTGACTATGAATTTTATATATGACTGAACATGAATTCTTTAAATGAAAAATTATTTTAAATCTTAATGGAGATATTTTTAAATTTTGTGCTAATTGTGACTTCCCTAGTATATAATTTTTTTAAAGAAAATTGAATGAGTTCTTTGATTCCATATTTTGTTTTTTTGCTTAGTTTTGGTAATTACAGTGTTGCCTATATTAACCTTATAGGCATCAATGCTGATCCTGGGATAAAATCTCTGCTTAAATGTTTGAGAACAGTGATATATTTAGTTTAAATCACAGTGGAATGCAGCACTTAGATCTAAACTGCTGTGATACACCTGCTGTTCTGCCCAAAACAATTACTACATACAGAGATGTAGCAATTTTCTCTGAACTTCCTTCATATTCTCAATAAGTAACTCTATATCGCCTGTTGGTACTGTAGCATTATTTAAAATCCTGTCTTTTATTTCAAAAAGTGTCATTTCAATTTCTATGTCAGGTTTCACCCAGTCTCTCATTGCAAGAACCTTTCCCTAGGATGAGCAACTTTGCTCCCTATTCTGTTTGCATCATTATTCTAGTCAATGAGGAGTAATATCTTGTTATGAAAACTATGATTATCCATAGAACATCAGTTCAATAAATGTTGCTGAGACACTTGGATTCATTAGTTTGTCCGTTATCATTCACCAAAGACAGAAACAAGATAGACAGAGTCTCTGCACTTGCTAGTAGAGTGGGAAAAGGCTTATGTGAAAGTAGATAGTGAAGATTTTGATATGGAGACTTCAGAAAGAGTGAGGCAAAGGGAAGCAGTTCCGCTAGAATACATGATCAAAGCAAGCAGACCTCTCAGGAAATGATGTTTAAGCTGTGCTCTGAATGGCAGTCAGCCTCCAACAAGTGATAAAAAGGCAATGCTACTTCTGGCTGCAGTGGGAATACAGGCTTTTGACAATTCTTTCGTCACACATTTAATGATTTATGATTTATCTACTGAGATTTAGGGCACACCATTTTAATATATTTCATAGTTAACAGTTTAATGAAACATCTTTTAATAAAATTTGTTGAATCTCCTCTACCTCAAAACATTGATGAATATTTTAAGTTCCAGGAACAAAACCATCTTCCTTTCACTCTCAATAAAATAATGGAGGAATCAGTGTTTTAAGCGTACATGTTTATTAATAACTACCCGCTCCTCCCTTAACTTACTTTATTCAGATATTATATTAAAATACTCTAAAAGTGCATTTATTTCTACAATACATAATTCCTTTCTTAGACAATTCTTTATTAGCTGCCTTTAGAAGGGAACTGATTACCTACTGTACTAGTAGGAATTTATCCCTACCTACTATACTAAAAAGGAAACTAACACTCTGAACAATTTGGTAACTTTTAGATTACTCCATAGCATGCATTTTCAGAGTCTCTCAGAAGCCTGGATAAAGTGTTACTGTCTTGTCCATTGTCTTCTCGAGTCCAAGATGGTGGTTTCCTGAGAGACACATACTAACTCAATTAATTAAACATTTTATTTTATATAATGTTTTGAGATTTTAATCCACTAACTCAAAAACATGTATTAATTGTACAACTACTAAACAAGCAGCCATTGTGAAAATTCTATTTTTCAACAATAGTATGCATTGGTGATACAAATACAAATCAAATGTGGTCTCTTTTGAAAAATCAATTATTTCTAAATTCCTATATTGTCCAGTGTAAAAAAAATGGTGAAATTGTAAATACTCTCTTCTCAGAAATTAGCCTTTAATCTGGATACTTAGTGAATATTCATTAACACTTACTGTCAGATAATTTTTGTCTCTGTAGATATAATCTCAGTATGAAGACAAGAAATCAGAGCAAGCTTACAAACTATTCACAGGGAGACGTGCTCATGCAATCTGAGTGCATGACACTGATTTTTCTATTTCTGAAATTCTTCAGTAGCCTCTAGAATAACAGTCACCCTCATTCCTTCTCTTTGTTTGCCAGTTTAAAGCCTTTAGCCTTAGTATCAAAACATTTCCTAAATATACCTTCTTGCACAAGCCAAAATTGTCCGAATTTACACAAATGTGACTTAGGTCATCTTAGACTCCTCCTTTCCTTCTGCTGAAATTCAGGCTTTGAACATCTAATCACTGCCCCCACAGACTAGCCTAGCTGAACTTATAGTTCCAGAACATCCATTCTTCTTTATTGATTCATGCTTTTCCCATATGCTCCCTTACTTCAGAATGCCTTAGTCTTCAGTCTGAATGGCAGACATGAATTCATCTTCACTGAAATAAGACATAACATGTAACACATGTCTTGATTGGTCTGGGTACCACACTTGTCATAGTATTTTCTAAGTCTATCAATTTACTTGTAATTTTCATGAGCTGAATAGAATTCTTGTGTGTATATGAGCCAAATTTGCATTATCCATTCCAAAGTTGAAGGACGTCTAAGTTTTTGCTGGGAGTAGAGTAGCAATGAACATAGCTGACAAATTAAGCTGTAGATTAGGATGCTGATATCTTCAGGTACACGTCAAAAAGTGGCAGGATTGAAATTCTATTTTTCGGGTTTTTTTTTTTTTGAGAATTCTTTACAATGATTTTTATAGTGCTTGCACCAGATTGTAATTCCACAAACAATTATTGAAGGGCCTCTCC